ATTTTGACCTATACAATGTATTTTTGGCTATTGCTACAAATATACCCCAGCGACTTAAGACTGGTTTTGTGGTCCATGGTCACAAATGAGCTCTCTATATCTCAATTGATGTTCCTGGAGAATAATGAGATTTAATGGAAAGCAAATGGAGTCTTTCCTCAAGAAGGAATGTTACATGTTTCCACATTTCAGATGAGATCTCAACAATATCACAACTGTGTGCTCAGATTTACCAAGATACTAAGATCTGTAATCAAACATCAAAGGCTATGTGATGCAATACTAGCTTTTTAAATAATCTCTGCCCTACATTATTTCATTTTTACTTGGAAGTACTTCACAATACAGAAATACAGAAAAGATAAGACAAAGTTGACACTGAAAAACAGAACAAAACAGACCAAAACAAAACTTGAATTAAATGAATGAAATGGTAATAAAATCAATAAAAAAAATCAAACTCTTTCATGGCCTTCTCTTTCCCCTCATCCTTTCAAGCGCTCTTCATCTCCACCACTCTCTTTTCCTTACATTCCCTTTTTTAAATTATTTTTCCTTAAGTTTATTGAATTACGAGTCAATTATGTCAGATTTTCCAGACAATGCCTTTAAAGGTTGCTCAGTAAGGAGTAGGTCACCTGTTCCCATATGAATTGTAACCGCTGTGGTCAGCCTGGTTATTCTTCTGTATAATGATTGGGCTTGAATCCTTTTAGACCTTCTGAACACAGATGACCTCATAAAATATCTGTCATGGTTGAAAACATTGCCACTACCACTAACTTCTCAGGGAGTTTTGCGTTGAAAGATAGATATGCAGATTGAGTTTGTGAACATGAGTTTAAAAGCACATCTATCTATCTACAGTATCTATCTGTCTGTCTGTACTGTATATGAGACTGATGACTAACACTAGATGTTCATAACACATTTCATTTTACAGATTGAGTTCTCTATTTTGTCATACACTTGTTAAAATTGCCATTGACCTCACAGCTATTATGGAACCTTGTATGACAGCTTCCAGGGTTTTCAAACATGTTCACTTTTAACCTAACAACTTAAAGATAAAATGGATAAAATTCAGGCAGAAGTTGAAAAATATTGGACATCCAAAAATATTTTTTTTTACTTATTCAATTTAATTGAAATTGCCCCTCATACAATTTTCCCCCATTCCCCCATCAGTTTTGTCTAGTTAGGACCAATAATGGGGGAGACTTGTAGGAAACGCTTGTCTCATTTTAATTCATATTTTGCCTGTTTAGGTGAAAATGCAGTCAGTTGTTTGCATTTCACTCATTTATTTTTCTGTAAGCACTTAAAGGGTTAGTTCACCCAAAAATGAAAATTAGCCTATGTTTTACTCACCCTCAAAGCATCCTAGGCGTATGTGACTTTCTTCTTTCAGACGAATCCAATCGGAGTTATATTAAAAATTGTCCTGGCCCCTCCAACCCTTACAACGGGGGTAAGCGGGTGTTGACTGTCAACAGTTCAGAAGACATGAAAGTGAGAGAAAAGTGTTTATTACGTTTGAAATCTGGATATTTATCTTATAAAAATGCATGGATTCGCTACAGGAGGCCTTTATTCACCCCCCGGAGCTGTGTGAGGGACATTTTATTACGGATGCACGCACTTTATTTCACGTCTTCTGAACTGTTGACAACCAACACCCACTTACCCCCATTGTAAGGCTTGGAGGGGCCAGGACAATTTTTAATATAACTCCGAAAGTCACATACAGCTAGGATGCTTTGAGGGTGAGTAAAACACAGGCTCATTTTCATTTTTGGGTGAACTAACCCTGTAAAGGGGATGTCTAAAGCTATTTCATGCATTCTGACTTATTTACACTGCTAAAGAGTTGGCTTCTCATGCTAAACTTGACCAAAGTCTCAAAAAATGAGTGGGACATATGACGGAGTATTTTTGTGCCAAAGACACTCCTTCAGGGTTCGTATAAGATTCTGAAAGTCTTGTCTCATTTTAATTCATATTTTGCCTGTTTAGGTGAAAATGCAGTCAGTTGTTTGCATTTCACTCATTTATTTTTCTGTAAGCACTTAAAGGGTTAGTTCACCCAAAAATGAAAATTAGCCTATGTTTTACTCACCCTCAAAGCATCCTAGGCGTATGTGACTTTCTTCTTTCAGACGAATCCAATCGGAGTTATATTAAAAATTGTCCTGGCCCCTCCAACCCTTACAACGGGGGTAAGCGGGTGTTGACTGTCAACAGTTCAGAAGACATGAAAGTGAGAGAAAAGTGTTTATTACGTTTGAAATCTGGATATTTATCTTATAAAAATGCATGGATTCGCTACAGGAGGCCTTTATTCACCCCCCGGAGCTGTGTGAGGGACATTTTATTACGGATGCACGCACTTTATTTCACGTCTTCTGAACTGTTGACAACCAACACCCACTTACCCCCATTGTAAGGCTTGGAGGGGCCAGGACAATTTTTAATATAACTCCGAAAGTCACATACAGCTAGGATGCTTTGAGGGTGAGTAAAACACAGGCTCATTTTCATTTTTGGGTGAACTAACCCTGTAAAGGGGATGTCTAAAGCTATTTCATGCATTCTGACTTATTTACACTGCTAAAGAGTTGGCTTCTCATGCTAAACTTGACCAAAGTCTCAAAAAATGAGTGGGACATATGACGGAGTATTTTTGTGCCAAAGACACTCCTTCAGGGTTCGTATAAGATTCTGAAAGTTTTTTTTTTCGAGTATGGCCCTGTATGATGTCATAAAGGGTGTGATTCCTTATATGGGCACTTCTCCAGGAAGAGCTCGCACACACATCAACCAGAGCGAGAGCAAGAGCACGCCCATCAACGTGCTTCATTCATTTTGAATTGTATGCCATCATATTAAGTCTTACAAAATATAATTTTGCATAAGTTCTATACATGAATTAATTTCACGACAGCATTATTATCTGTTCTATTTATTGGCAGCAAATGTTTTCTGCCTCAGTTGGCATTGCACTGTATTTCCCACATGTACACTACGCAAAAGCTGCACATGATTGTGACTCTTTAGCTCCGCCCACGGCATGCCTCCAAGAGCTCGACCGTTTTCGGAGAGAAGCGGTACAGCTGTATTCGTCTTTTGGAAATCTGATAAAACCAAAGACTCTTCAGAGATATGAAGGATGCAATACTACTCTATAGGTACTCAAAATTAACAAGATTGCCAGAAACTGTGTGTGTTATGTCCGCTTTAACGGCATAGTCTGATTCACTCTCTCTCATACTATGCTTAAATCAAAACCTCTAACCTTCCTGGATGTTGTAATAGTGTTTTATCATGGTTCATGGTATGCAGTAACTCGTTCAAAGGGATGTGACCCTGAAGCCAGAGAAGCGTGTAAGAGAATAAACATAAAGATAGCCTATCGTCTGTAATCTGTGTTACTGCCTATGTCTGACATTCACCTCTGTGTCCTCCTGTGTGTTTAGACAGTGCATTCATCACTTTGGGCCCAATGACGACCTTCTCTGAGACCTACACCACTGGATCATGTCTTTCTTATAATCACTTACTCTGTCTCTCTCTTTTTCCTAAAACAACCGTGTTCATCTCTTTTTGTCTATTATCCTTCCTTCCAATCCCTCTTTTAGTTGTACAAAGTTGCCCTCTTCCTTCCATTCTTTTGTATGACAGCCGTTTACTGGAGCATTATTACTCCCCGTATAAGCCCCTCTATAATTAGACACCAATTTGGACGGATTTACACTTTTTCACATGCCAAAACATTCATATTGGCTGTTTATCCCCGTGGTTAAAGGGCATAGCTGTCAAACTGACCACAATTCATGGCGATGTTAAGTGTTTTGCAGTTAACTGAGCAGCCTGGCGCAGCTCCGTTCCTTCCGAAATAACATGGGCTAACTGGTGATTAAGGATTTAAAAGAAGAAGTGGAGATGCTCGTGCCGGGCGGTCCTGTAAATGATTCAGGAGAACTGATTGCTGGTGCGCAGCTCACTGGCATTTCAATGTGTTTTTGAATCTTAGTCATTAAAGCTCGGGCCGCATTTCAATTTAAGCTCTCATCCTCCGCTCTGACGACTATGATCTCCGTGCAAGGCGAAAATTGTAATTTAGTCGTTGCGCCAGGCAGTGGTTATTTTTCTCTTTAATAATAAATATTACAATTTTTTTCTGGGACTTCTTTGCATAAATCAAAGTAGTATGAAAGATGAAAAGGAAATTTGTGTTTTACGCGTGGAGACCTTCTTAGAACTTATCTGGTGGCCTGTTATTACCCCACACATGCTGATATAGGGGCCGCACGTGAAAGAAATCACAAAACGCTGGCAAAGATCTTTCCAAATGAGCAATGTACCATAATATCTTGACATCAGCTTTGAAGAAATGGCCAGTTAAGTGGTCTGGTTTCATATGAGGACCAGTCTGACGCAGTTCCTAGTTCCAGGATAGAAATCCCTCAGAACAAGGCCATGGATTTAGTCTCTCCTTCTGACTAAATCACTCAATTTACATGTACTATCATGCCGATCCGGTAACAGAGTCATCCCGCTGAAGTCCTACATATCTCTCACGTACTCCCTCTCTTTTCCCCTCCCTGTGACCCTGGCTTCCTCTCTGCCCCACTAAAGGTGTTTGTCTGTGAGCGGCGGTAAGGATTACCTTTCCATCAGTAGAAGAATGAGGTGTGAAAAGCAATCTGAGGAACGCCAGGCCGGCTGATATGGAACTTTGGCGGATGCAATTATGCCTATGACAGATCATTTCTGACCTGATCCCTCGCTGCTCTGGATGGCAGCCAGCCACTGCTGTTGTTTTGTTTTGCTTGTGCGGTGTGTGAAATGTGGAAACCTTTAGCAAGGGAGTAGTGACACAGCAGGCATCTCCATTTTTCTCTGCTTTCCCTTACGTTCCTGCCCTGTAGAATCAAATATGAGCATGATGTATGAACTTTACCCTATTTTTCTTAAATTCTTTATATTTTTCTTTATAGATACTCTTCCCAAGGTTGGTCGCTTGACCTGATTAGCATATTTGCTCTGGTGAATTCCTTTGTGCAGAGATGCAAAGATCTAATAGAGGTGAGCAAACACTACAAAATTATGCAAACAAACTCACAAACTGTACATTTTCCAAATGTGTTTCACACCCACAGAGCTTTACACCCTACTTTCTCAAGCACACATCCAGAGCATGTCCTCTCATATTTCTCAATAATTCACGTCTCCGTCTGTCTTTATTGCTTTCATTTCTCGTATTTCCCAAGACTCCTGTCCTTGCTGAGATCTGTATTTTATATTACTTGTCATTTTTATATTTATTCATGCACATTTTTTTGCTGTGAACTCCTACTAGCTCCTCATACGATTGGCACTTTCCACGAATAGGGCAGAAAATAGGGATAGAAACTGAGATGCTTTGCCTTCAGAAATTGTTATACATCAACCGTAGTAGTTCAAAGTTGTTGTTTTTTGCAATAAATGCTTTCAGATTATTGGACCTTTTATAAAAAAAAATATATATACTTTTTTTTTTTTATAAAACATTTAATAAAAATTCTTTCATTTATTTAAAATCTCTCTCTTTCAGGTATGTGACTGTCAGCAGCAGTTTGCTCGCTGGGAAGAGGGTGAGCAAGTGCCGTCGCCATGCTTTGCAGGATGTCAGGGGACAGAGGTCACTCAGAGACTGCTGACCACAGCCTGCAGGTCCTGCGCTCCGTTAAAGACATCCTAGATGTCAGAAATCCCTCTGGGCATGAGGACTACAGCAGGTGCAGTGTGTTTGTTAATTGATCTGGGCACAGAGAGAGGGGAAAAAAAGAGAGGTTCTGGGTGTAGCTGGCTTTGATTTTTATAAGAGCTGCAATCTGTCGATATGTCCAACTTGATGTCTACACTGGAAGCGACCAGTGTTGTATTTGCTTGAAGCAGTGCATCACCTCTGAATGTTCACTAACCAGAGACCAGTCAGCTATGAGCTTTAGGTTAGACTTCATTGAGATTAAACAATTCCATTAATAATAACAGAACAAATTAGTATAAAAATAAATTCTGCATGAGCGGTTTTAGAATAGCAAATAACTTCATAATTTAATATGTAAATAAAATATACCAATTTAAGAAATAATAAATACATTATCATTCAAAAGTTTGAAAGCATTTAATTGATTAAAAATACAGTAAAAACTGTCCACTGAAGGCAAGTTGTGATGAAACCCAAGTGCAGTTTATTGGGATCCAAAAGTAAACAGTCTAGACTTGATCATACTTGGCTTGACAAAGAAACATGAAATGAACCTGAACATAAAACATGGCACTCACCAACAACAGTTACAGGAAACAAAGCTAGATAAAGGACAGTTGTAACATGAGAGCTATATACTGTATACAAAGACACTAATCACTAAAAAGAGACACCTGGAACAATCAAGACTAAGAACCAATGAGAACATAGGACACACGACTAAAACAACCAATCACAACATGACACATTAGGTGTGTTCGACTTCGTGTTGCACTGCGCAGATCGATCAGCGACAGTTGCCGCTTGCAGTTGGGGGTGGAATTGAAAGCGGGGATGTAAAGTCAGACACTTTCTGCTCTCACCGTGTTTGCATACTTTATCACAGATGAAGTGAATTAAATGTAATATTTGTCAAATACACAGACATTTCAGAGACGTTTTCATGAAGCAACAGAAACACACTTCATGTACTGCTTAACACTAGAAACGCCAGAGGTCGCTGTATACCTAAAAGTGCCAGCGGGTAAATTTTACCCACGCACATGGCAACTGTTTTTATATGGCTAAAGAACATATTATTTCACTGTATTATGCTACTGTCTTCACAAAGAAGTTTCTAGAGTCATGAAATTATTGTCTAGTCATCAACTATATTTTTATCCTGTTGTTTTATGTTCAAGATTTTTTAATGCAGGCTACACTAATCCATAACGGTCAGTAGCCTAAGCTAAAAAAAAAAAAAAGCCTGCACTGACAATGGAAATTAGAAAGTAGTAGCCTAAATATTTGGGTGGTTTAATATTATAATACAATGTCATTAATCAATATATTAAGATAACCCATGCGATGAATGACTAAAACAGCCTATAGACAATAATGAGCAATAATAATTCACCACACTGCGTAGGATGATGCGATGACAAATTCAAGCGCACCGCTTCACCTAAATATTTATTAATTTGTTTAGTTATATCGTTTATAATCTGGTTTTATTCATTAAATCATATAGATCAGGGTTTTTTTTCTTCAGGAAACGGCCAGACTAGAATAGCAACACAGTAGCGGACAATAAACATATGGCAAGACAAAAATTAAATTAAACCAAAGTTTGACCAGTTAGAGTAACATTAGGCTAAAACATGTAAATATGATATCTGGATCACTGTCAGATGAGCCGTCAGATGCTGAGCCGACCCAGGACGCATAACTTACCATCAGACTGTCCATCACTCATGGCATTTAGTGTTTCTAATACCTACCTTCCATAAATCGCCTTTTTTTTGTAATTTTGACTTTATTTATGAAACTGATAACCCTAAAATCAGTGAGTGAAAGGCGTTGCCTAGAAATGTACAATGTTAAAACATAAGCAGCAAGAAAATGACAGCGCGAAAATGCAAGCATTATATAGCGGGTAAATTTGACCCGCTGGCGCTTATAGGTATAAATGCCCCGTTTTTTTTATCTGGTTTTATCTAAATAATTTTTAACAACATTGGATTGTAAATTACATAAATTTAGTAAAAGTCAATGACTGGGAGACTTGAATGTTTTATTTTAAATCTGTTATGTACATTTGAAAACAGCCACGGGTAAAATTTACCCCCTGGCGGTTCTATACAGTAAAATCAGCAGTGTAATATTTGCGGTGTTAAAAGGTATTAATTCCTAAAGAGTTGAATTAACAATCTACAGTGCTAAACAGTACTCGTGATCAGTGTTGTTATATGGTGTAATTTCACTTTTACACTAAAAGTGTGGAATAAAAAACCCGCCGAATTGTCTGGACTCTGCCCTTCAATGACTGCTGCTTCGCAAAGCGACGACGCCATTTTTTCTTCAAGCGACCGAGACGGTAAGTTGGATTGCTTTTCTCTTTATAAAAGTACACGGGAAAAACATTTTTGTTGATAATTTTACTCAAAATATGATTGGTGGTGAACACATTTAGAAATTACTAACTGTGCGTGTTTTTGTCAGGTTTAGTGTTAATGGAACACTCCACTATTTTTGAAAATAGGCTCATTTTCCAACTCCCCTAGAGTTAAACAGTTGATTTTTACCGTTTTCGAATCAATTCAGCCGATCTCCGGGTCTGGCGGTAGCACTTTTAGCTGTAGCTTAGCATTAGCTTAGACTTCTGCAGTGTCAAGTCTCCTCTCATAAGATTGCAAACTGGGAGTCTGATGACACTGAGTGTGAGTGATGGAAAGGAGAAGAATGCTGAAGATGACGCCAGAATTGTGAGTCTGTGTTATTTATATGTTATTCTATGTGCAGTACAAATTTAAAATGCACAAATGAATATGAAAAATTTAAGTTTAACTGGGCAGGCACACAATATCAGCTTATGTTCACACCTGGAATTTACTAATTATTAATTTAAGATATCAAACTGCAAAAAGATAAATGGTTAGTTGACCCAAAAATGAAAAATTGTCATTATTTCTCACTCTGTCATTCCAAACCTGCAAGACTTGCATTCATTTTCAAAACACAAATGAAGATATTTTAAATGAGAAAATTTCCTTCCATCGACAATCTACACAACTACCACTCTGATACTTCAAGAAGTTCATAATGAGATGATAAAACTAATCCAAATGAATCGAGCGGTTTAGTCCAAATTTTCTGAATAGACTCGAACAGATTGAAATTTACATTTAAACATTGATCAGGGAACATAAACAGAAAAACAGAACATTTGGACTAAACCACAATACGTATGGATTAGTTGTCTTTATGGATTAGATCTCTTTATGAAGTTTATAATAGGGTGACCATACGTGCCATTTTCCCAGGACGCGTCCTGGCCAGGATTTCTATATTGCCTAAAATATCTAGGTTTTGGCTTTGTTTGCATGTTCAGACCGATCGGTGTATGACATCAAACATGATAGCACAGAAATAGTGCAAAAACAGCCAATATGGTGTCTAAAACTCTTGATATTAACTTATTGTTTATTGAACTGTTGAATAAAATAAATATCACATTTGTAACCATGCTGATTTTTTAAGAAAAAACGGCACTCTTTGTGTGATATTGATTAACTATATGAATTGATATAAATATATACATTTTCTGCCTCCTTATCTTGAATTATGTGATCATTCTTAATGCATAGTAATAGACTGAATCATGCAGTGAAAGAACCACTCTAAATACGCACGCGCACTTAATCCTGTGTTGGTCTAGCCAGACTTCATCACATCACGTAGTGTTGGTCTAGCCAGACTTCATCACGTCGCGTATGCGTGCCTCTGTAGGTGTGTTTTGTTTAGCTTTTGCAATATACTCTATAATGTCATGATGTCTCACAAGTTCAGTATTTGCGCTAAACCTGCGCAGATTTGGCCTGCATGAACTTCCCTAAGAAATTAATGAGTGAACATAATTTCTGAACATAATTTACGAAAAGTTACCCGCCAAATTGGCTAGTGATTTGACAGCGTTACCCGCCACAGCTGATTTTTACCCGCAGTTGGCAGGTGTTAATTTCAAACCCTGACTGTAACGTTAAATTCCATGTTCACAACTGCACCGGGATTCCCTCTACTTCACGGAAATCATACGGCCTTAATTTATAATTTACAACTTGTTATTAATGCGACACACCTTCATCTGCACGGAGGGATCGTGTCCGCGAACTGTGTTATTTATATGTTATTCTATGTGCAGTACAAATTTAAAATGCACAAATGAATATGAAAAATTTAAGTTTAACTGGGCAGGCACACAATATCAGGTTATGTTCACACCTGGAATTTACTAATTATTAATTTAAGATATCAAAGTGCAAAAAGATAAATGGTTAGTTGACCCAAAAATGAAAAATTGTCATTATTTCTCACTCTGACATTCCAAACATGTAAAACTTGCATTCATTTTCAAAACACAAATGAAGATATTTTAAATGAGAAAATTTCCTTCCATCGACAATCTACACAACTACCACTCTGATACTTCAAGAAGTTCATAATGAGATGATAAAACTAATCCAAATGAATCGAGCGGTTTAGTCCAAATTTTCTGAATAGACTCGAACAGATTGAAATTTACATTTAAACATTGATCAGGGAACATAAACAGAAAAACAGAACATTTGGACTAAACCACAATACGTATGGATTAGTTGTCTTTATGGATTAGATCTCTTTATGAAGTTTATAATAGGGTGACCATACGTGCCATTTTCCCAGGACGCGTCCTGGCCAGGATTTCTATATTGCCTAAAATATCTAGGTTTTGGCTTTGTTTGCATGTTCAGACCGATCGGTGTATGACATCAAACATGATAGCACAGAAATAGTGCAAAAACAGCCAATATGGTGTCTAAAACTCTTGATATTAACTTATTGTTTATTGAACTGTTGAATAAAATAAATATCACATTTGTAACCATGCTGATTTTTTAAGAAAAAACGGCACTCTTTGTGTGATATTGATTAACTATATGAATTGATATAAATATATACATTTTCTGCCTCCTTATCTTGAATTATGTGATCATTCTTAATGCATAGTAATAGACTGAATCATGCAGTGAAAGAACCACTCTAAATACGCACGCGCACTTAATCCTGTGTTGGTCTAGCCAGACTTCATCACATCACGTAGTGTTGGTCTAGCCAGACTTCATCACGTCGCGTATGCGTGCCTCTGTAGGTGTGTTTTGTTTAGCTTTTGCAATATACTCTATAATGTCATGATGTCTCACAAGTTCAGTATTTGCGCTAAACCTGCGCAGATTTGGCCTGCATGAACTTCCCTAAGAAATTAATGAGTGAACATAATTTCTGAACATAATTTACGAAAAGTTACCCGCCAAATTGGCTAGTGATTTGACAGCGTTACCCGCCACAGCTGATTTTTACCCGCAGTTGGCAGGTGTTAATTTCAAACCCTGACTGTAACGTTAAATTCCATGTTCACAACTGCACCGGGATTCCCTCTACTTCACGGAAATCATACGGCCTTAATTTATAATTTACAACTTGTTATTAATGCGACACACCTTCATCTGCACGGAGGGATCGTGTCCGCGAAGATGTTGGATGTATTGCCTGTTTTTGCAGCCACTTGCGTCCACATTTTTTGCAAATTGCATCCATCCCCGCGTTCGTTTTTTTTTTTATATCCGAAGTAACATTATTCATATATTGCAGATATTAACTTTTTTTCGGCGGGGATGGAGATTAGATATTAAATCAAATCAAATCACTTTTATTGTCACATCACCACAACACATGTGCCTTGGTGAGTGAAATACTTGAGAGCGTGCTCCAGACAGTGCAGAAACAATTACATATAGACATACTTACAGACATACAGATGACAGTGTGCCATACATATATTCAGTACACACAGCGAACACTGGACTGTGCTCTCTTTCTCGCATTCTTACACATTCTAATGGACAAATACACACATAATTATATCAAAATATCCCTTAAATACAATCAGTTATGTCTTAAGTGAACACAAAGAGCTGAGAAAGAAAACAAGGGTGTATTGGATCCGAAAACAAGGGTGTATTGGATCCGTGCATTGACAGCAGCCGCTGCCGCCAGTTATTAATGTTAATCAAAGAACAAAAGAAAAGAAAATCCCTCACTGATCTTGACTGAATCACTTTTGTAGCCTCAGTTTATATTTTATTTGCCTGTTGTTCGGCGCTGACTACTGTAATGGCAATGTGTATATGTGTGTGATTATTTTGGAGATGTGTTCCAATATAATTTATCCTTATTTAGGGAATTGGCCTATTCTATACCTGTGGGATGCTTGGCGCTCTTTTTTGTTGTTGTCCTTTTTCTCTATCAAATCTTTTAGTAATCGTCATAAATTATGTATCGTTTGAAAGCTTAGAAGCCCAAGATTCATCCTGTGAAAACCATTTTGAAATCGGACATTGCGTTTCCATGGAAATGGTACTTTAAAATCTTTTGGCGGTCTCCTCCCCCTTAGTGGGCAGTGTCAAGTGTCATATTACAAAATGAATTCCGGTCTTTTAGAATCAAACCTTTTTATAATCTTGACAAAAAACATATCATTGGAAAGGTCTGAGTCTCAGGATTCCATATATGGTGGTTATTTTGAGATAAATAATATTGACAGAGAAATGTAGACATTTGTGACAGAAAAATGCATTAAAAAAATTCAATGGAGTTTGGATGGCTGCACCTGGTGGCTATTTGTGGTATAACGCCCTAAATAAAATCTCACATGAACCTCCATTTTTTTTATATCAACTTCAAATTTGGAACATAACTTATTTAGACATGAGGCTTTAATTTTATACCAATTTTAGACCTGTTATGTAAAATATTTATTAAATATTAAATTAAATTAAATGAATATAGTGCATTTTAATCTGCTGATTTTCTTTAAAAAGAGAACAACCTTAGGTCTGTATTCCGAAGTGTTCATAAATTACAACAATTTAAGTTCGGATAGTGCACTTTCATGCCCATTTTAAAAAATGGGGGGTGACAGTTAAGGGGTTTAAAAGTTAAACAGAAGAAAAAGACATAGTAGCACTGTATGCGTTTCTGAATATTTATTTAAACAGACTGTATAATGATGATGTTATAATTAAAATACCTTCACAGCCTATTTATACACTGCACATAGTGCCCTATTTTTTTTACAGATTTTTTAAACGGTGTATACAGTATAATTATGTTTAATTGAGCTGAGATATAGCACTATAAATTCTTAATTACTTTGCGCAAACGGATGAAGACATTATAGGCCTATATCTCAGCTCGCCCCTTAACATGCATGCGTTCAGAGTTTCGGCAGCCCAATACTGAATATTATATTGTAGCCGTTGTATTTTGATTCATAAAATAAAAATGATAAAAATTTAAATACAAAAATTAAATTTAAATGACCTGCCTCTAAATAAATAAAGCAGTTATTTTTATATCGTTAAAAACGGGCCAAAAGAGACCTCCGAACTAGGCTACCAGGAAGGTTAGTTGTTTTTGCTCAGAGTTCGTTTTTAATCCTGCATGATTTTAGTAATGTATAATAAATATCAAATAGCCTACGTTATAGCTTGACTATAAGTTTAAAAATAACGCTACAATTGTTATAATCAAGGAAATTAAACTTACCATCATAAAAATGTGTCTACACACGTCGGAAATAGGCATATTTTATTCAAGCCATTACTATATGATATCAACATGCATTTATCATTCTTACAATCACCGCCAGAATGTCCAACTTCACCATGATGAACTTAAAATTGGGTTCTATAATTTTTCCTCAACAGTTCTCCTCACAAAACGAAATTCATTTCAAACACAAATTTGATAAGAACAGAGTGGAAATTAGCAACACCAACATAACAGCAAAGCTAATGTTTTCTGTTAGTTTAAGCACAAACTAAGAAAAGTAAAACTAAACTTTAATGTCTCGGCGGGGGCGGGGCGTAGTGAAGGTGGGGCTTGGGTAGATGATATTATCGGATATCGTGATATTTATGAAGGCGATTATCGTTAAGATATTTTTGACATATCTCCCAGCCCTAGTCCAGTATTGAACTGTGTTGGAGTTAATGTGCAGTGTGTGGCATACCGTATAGTGGGAGTATGCTGTAGGGTGTATTAGTTCTGACTGTTCATTAGTCTGATAGCCTGAGGGAAAAAGCTATCCCTCAGTCGGCTAGTGTGGGATCGGATGCTGCGGAGACGTCTTCCGTATATATATATATATATATATAATTAATCTTCATGTAGGTAGGAATAATAAAACAGCTTGAGTTGCTGTGCAGTATGCAGGGCAGCAAAGTTAGATCTAGAGTTTTTTTTTTTTTTGCCACATCTGGCTTTTGCATTGTAAATGGCTCCATTGTCTATAATGGGAGCGATCTAGTTTTGTTGTGTAGTGACATGCACAAAATTTTGTGTCGGTATTTCTGCCAGCCTGTCTATGAGGCAGTCACTCCTTCTGGTTCTCATGTATATTTATAAATGTTTGTCATTCTCTGCTACTTATTGGTCTGCTGGCCTTTTGGGAATTTCCATACATCTCGTATTAGCATATCTTCATAAATATGCATATAATGACCCGCATATTCGTATCATATCGATATTTTTCATGAATATTCTGCCTAAATGTATGTGCAGCGGGGAGAAGATCACTTTGCCTTCTGTGTCTGAACTCAACGTGCCCCTATTGTCATTCACAACTGTTTGTGAGAGCAGGCAGTTTGGCTGCTTATCTGAATACCATCATGATCGTCTGTGTGACGGAACCTGGGCTACCCATCAGCTTTTAGAGGCCATTATCCCCTCGTAACCCCGCCCCAGGCACTGACGGACCTTGGGAAAGCGAGCCGTGCGTGAGCGAGTGTGTGCATCTGATGGCCATGATGGATTGGGGCCGAGGCGGGTCATAGGGCTAGGATGTTGTTGCCAAGACAAACAGCTGTGCTTGTGTCTGGGGCAGGTGTTTCATAGTGTCTCAGCATATTGAGAGCACCCAAATCAATACCAGCCTCCATTTATGGCCGAGATTGTGTGTGTGTTGGACTCTACCTTTGAATAGAGGGCACTGATTTGTGTTTGGAACATGCTGTACAGCTCTGCCCATTTCTTTGTTGTATTGTGCCTCTTGTTTATCCGTGTGTGTGTGAGTGTGTGTGTGTGTGTGTGTGTGTGTGTGTGTGTGGGGGTTTTTTTAGGTTCCGTGCTAAAGTGAAAGATCTGGAGGTGATGATGCAGAATTTGATCACTTCAACCTTTGAGACTGTGAACTGTGTGGAGGAAGGAGTACAGCTGCTTGATGTGTTTCAGCACCTGTCTGGACGAGAGGTCTTTCTCACACACACTTAGCTTTCAATTCAAAACCTTGTACATCATCAGACTGCTACTCCTCTTAGCAAATATAGTGAATACAAATGGCTCCAGCAGAACAGACCACCCACAGACTTCTGATGTCACTTCCTTTTCACTCTGTTACTCAGGAGGTCAGTAGCAGGACTTCACGCACACATATAAGCCCACTGCTCTCTCACCTGTGTCACCCGTCTCTTTACTTATTATCATTAAGATGTGTTTACCTCATTAATTACATTCATCTCTCCTGCCTTTTGCCTTCCCCTTCAGTAAGTTTTTTTTCTCCTTCTTCCTTTCATTCTGTCATTCAGCTTTTCATTTTAAAATTTTGGAGTGCTGCTTTGGCTAGGCTATTTTACATGCATTATAGCTAAAGCTATAGTGGGGTTAGGGTTAGTTCACCCAAAAAAGAAAATTAGCTTGTGTTTTACTTACCCTCGAAGCATCCTAGGTGTATATGACTTTCTTCTTTCAGACGAATCCAGTCGGAGTTATATAAAAAATTGTCTTTGATCTTTCAAGCTGTTTAATGACACTCAGCGGGTGTTGCAGCTGAACACTCCACAAGTCATCAAATCAAGCTCGCGCATTCATAATAAAACGTGCCGCAGACAGCTCCGGGGGATGAATAAAGGCCCCTGTAGCGAATCCATGAGTTTTTGTAAGAAAAATATCCATACTTCGAATGTAATAAACACTTTTCTCTCACTTCCGCTGACTGTCATACACTGAAGCAGTTCCGGCGGAAGGCATATGACGTATGCGCAGCGCGTGTGCCTCTGAGATATGCTAGTCTCGCGAGTTTGTTTAATAGGAGCAAAGGAAGCAAAGGTTCCTTACTTTAGCAAAGGAAAACCAGTCTCCTCTTGGTTTATATCGAAATCCTCAGACATTTTTCTTTGCAAATCTTCGGTTTGTACTTCTAATTCGTGACCGGCGTTTTGTTTTGTTCTCTCTCCGCATTCGTCACTAATCACGCAACGGCGCGTGTCCTACGTAATCCGCCGGAACTGCTTCAGTGTATGACAGTCAGCGGAAGTGAGAGAAAAGTGTTTATTACGTTTGAAATATGGATATTTTTACAGGGGGCCTTTTATTCATCCCCCGGAGCTGTCTGCGGCACGTTTCATTATGAATGCACGAGCTTTATTTGATGACTTGTGGAGTGTTCAACTGCAACACCCGCTGAGTGCCATTAAACAGCTTGAAAGATCAAAGACAATTTTTTTTATAGAACTCCGACTGGATTCGTCTGAAAGAAGAAAGTCATATACACCTAGGATGCGTCGAGGGTAAGTAAAACACAAGCTAATTTTCATTTTTGGGTGAATTAACCCTTTAATACGAATAATAAATAGTCAAAAATAAAAAGATGCCAATGCCATTGAAGGTGAAACAAACTCAAATTTAAAATAAAATATAATACTGTTATACAATATAAAAAATATAATATAAAGATATGAAATAAAAATAACTTTTCATAAATAACAGTCTAAAGACAACTAGTTAACATAATTATCATAACAGTAATTTGTTAGTTTGTGGTTTCTGAGAGGGTGCATTCACATAAAGAAGTAAATTATAAGAGGCGGTGTATTACAGTAATTGTACCACAATTTACCACATTTCCTGAGTGTTTCTCTTTTATATCTTTCTCAGGCTATCAAGCAGACCATTGACAGAAATACGGTGGATTTATACGCTTTGCTCAGTGTTGAGCTGAGTGATATCAATTTGGTGATGTGCAGGCTGTCATCTCTCACTCCTGCTCAGATGCCTCAACACGCAGGACAGGCGCATTGGACCCGAGCAGTCTGATCACGGATAGAAAGACCCATGGAGGTAAGATTAACATTAAAGAGAGGTTAACATAAAAAAAACACTATAAGGTCAGGGTTGTGAATCAAAAACTCATTTTGATTCACAATTGGTTGCGCCTTTAAAAAAATAATAATTCCAGTACACAATGATTTTAATGAAATACCGACAATGCAAAAAATACTTTGTTTTCTGTACTGGTGAAGAAATTTAATATTAATTTTAAAGTTTTAATTTTATTTGCTTTTGTCATAGCTTTAATTTTTATTTTAGATTTAGTCATTTTGATGCTTCAACTTAAACTTCTTTATTTCACTTAGATGCCAAGACAGATTAGTCCCATTCACTAACAATGAATGAGCTGGTCTTATGAGCTGGTTCTTTTTAATGAACCGTTCTCAAACTCGTCAGTCTTAAATGACTCAATGACTGACTTTTCTTTGTAATTGACTTGAAATACACCAAACACTTAAGGTTTTGTGAGATCGGTGTAATATGCTAGATGTTATAATGTACAGTAGTTAGGCTTAGTCATTTTGTGCTTCCTCAAAGATGTCAAATGAATCGTTAATAGAATTGCTGAGGAACCAGAATTGTTACATGTAATCAGAATCAACCAAAATAGTTTCCCTTCCATAATAAAGATGTCAAACATTCTGACATCAACCTGACTTGGGTCCACACCAAAAGCTGTTATGTGAAAAATGCCCACAGTCAAATCAAGCATCACTGGTTCCTGAAAGATGTACCAATTAGATGCGTGACCACAAGGTGACTTATCAGTCCAATCCCAGCATGCACTGGGCCACACCCTTTTTTCCTCACCCTTTGTAGGTGAACTCTATTGGGGTTTGTGGACAAAAGAATCAGATTCCAACCCAAAACCTCTATCAGGGTAAATTTGGAAGGTGTCACAGGATAGCTTAACTCCATTGCTGAGCTCTTCTCTGTGTTGAGTTCAGAGCCTTGTGTCAGGGGCCAGTGAGGGGCCCCAGCAGAGGCCCTGGAGCTCAACCAGGATCTAGCCACACAGGCCCTAATGCTATTAAAGCCAGCTGTGCTGCCACATACTTACTGTCTTGTTTTTTTGTCACTTTCCATTTCACTCACCCATCATCTCTCTCTTGTTTTCTCTTTCTTTCTCTTCTCATCTTTCTCTCTTTCTTCAGTTTGTTTACAAAGCGCATTGCCTTCTCCATTGTGTTTAAATTCATTTTCCGCTTTCTTTAAGAAGGCAATTAAGAGCAGACATAAGCTTTAATTGGACACAGATATGATTATGTTGCATTTCCCCACAATTGATCCCAAAAAGGCCCACAGAGAAACAAAAGGGAGACAGAAACCAGAGCTTAATGATGGTCTGATTAGACGTTGTAGAATGTTTACTTTGTTACTGCATAGCCTGAGACATTCCTAACATGAGCAAAGTTTAGCCTTCATTTGTTTTAATGTTTACCCTTGGATTGTTTAGCTTAGTTGTGCTCTGACAGTTGTTTTGATTGTTTGTGACCTTGCATGTGTGAGTCGGTAAGATTTAAAGATGTTGTTTGTTTGTAAGTGATGAGATGTGTGTTCAAAGAAGGCTCTGCATTCTTTCTGAGCTCTTCCCATCTGTTTGTATGTGTTTTTTGCACATGTGTTGTCTAGGTTCTCTAGTGCACTCATTTCCTGCCACATGTCAGCAGCGGAGAAGAAGTGCATGTGAATTATGCTAAGTTTTGTCAGACTCTGGATGAGTAGGTGAGGAGGTTCTTCACAGACTGGAGTCAGAGTCTGAACAGAGAGTGTCTCAGCAGTCTCAACCAGCTGCTCATGATCCATTATAAAGGGAAGACAGGTCTGCTGGACATCAACTATAATAAGTATGTGATTACACAAACACATATGCATACAGACCCTCCAGTACCTCTGTGCTCACTATGATTGTCAATATAATTAGACATGCCTGTCACTGACCAGGGATATTTTGTCCATGGTTTATGGCACATGATTCAGTGCACTGCACACTATAAAAATATTTGTTTTCATAATTTTGCATCAGAAAAATATGGAGCCGGATCAGCCTCAAAAATAATACATTTACAAAACAAAATTCATAAATACACAGCACAATTTACATTTACAAAATCTGATTCGTAAATTCAAAACACAAGTAAAAGCATAAATATTTCCCCAAATGCTCACACAAATGCATCTTTCCTAATAAATGCAAAATGTTTACACAAATATGTATACATACAAGTTCTTAAATTAATTTCCATCACACATTTATGAATGATGTTACATGTATTTATGGATCGTTGAATCTGCAAATCGCCACACGTGCATGGACTGCTTTGAATTTGCGGTATTTTTGAGACCTTCCTGACAGGTTAAGATTCATAAATATAAGGAGAAGTGCTCACTAACACAGATTTAGACAGATTTGTGAACATTATTTGAGAGAAATAGGCCTTTTGTGTACATAGAAAAAGTCTTAGATCTTTGAGTTCAGCTCATGAAAAATGGGGGCAAAAACAAAAGTGTTGCGTTTATAATTTTGTTCAGTGTATTATAACTGGTAGGAACACTTTAGTAATCACAGGATGAATGGGCGATAAACAATCAATAAAACAACGATTTCAATGATGAACTATCGGGAAATTTTAAATCTGGTTTGTAGATAGTGGGTTCTAAAGTTACCATCGCGACCAGCTATAATCAGATAAAAAAAATGACTTTACTCACTCGTTGAGTCTGGTTTTCATCCTCCATGCTGAAATCTCTCTGCTGTGTGTGTTAGAAATATGGTGTAAGGTTCAAAAATTTATTAGCGAAAATATTCAGAGTTTAAGACCTTCTTCACTCCTATGGGAAAATGTACTCTTTGGTTTTACTGACTATCCTGACCAAGAGGAACAGTACTTTTACTTAATTAATTTACTTATTCTATTGACCAAATTTCACATTCATAAGTGTAAATTTACCAATAAAAAACCCAATTTTATGGTTTTGTTGACTGAAATATGTATATATATTGACAGTATCAGAGACTCCCTTTTCTTATTTTAATGTTGTTTTATTGTGTGTTATTGTTCCTTGAATAAAAATTAAAAAAATCTCCCTTAGGTGGTGGTAGCTGCTTTTAATGATTGATCAAAAGTTACTGCGAACCTGATACTACTACTAATAACAACAACAGAACACATTACATAAATGTTGTTATTAAATGAAATATCTGGACATTAATTTGTCCTATCTTTTTCTTTTCTTATTTTAATGTTGTTTTATTGTGTGTTATTGTTCCTTGAATAAAAAATAAAAAAAATCTCCCTTAGGTGGTGGTAGCTGCTTTTAATGATTGATCAAAAGTTACTGCGAACCTGATACTACTACTACTACTAATAACAACAACAACAACAACAACAACAGAACACATTACATAAATGTTGTTATTAAATGAAATATCTGGACATTTAATGTTACAGATTGATCTGAATAAACAGGGTATGTGCAACTTTGGTGTATAAGACAGCAGGCTAACCGGGTAGCTGTATTTTGTGCGAACGATATATAAATCATAATGTGATTTTGTAGAAATTGTAATCAGGTGCTAAAAAAAAAGAGTACCCATTAAAAGGTATTTACATCAAGGACCCGATCATGGAACAATGCACAGTACAAGCGCAGCGTTGAGCTTCTTGAGTCTGTTCAGTAAGGAGCGTTTTGATTGGTGGATTAAAAGATCACCGCGATTGGCTGAACGGAGCATCCTCCAAAAAAAGATATTTATGAATCTTAATCATTCAGGATGGTCTCAAAAATACCACACACAAATTCAAAGCAGTCCATGCACGTGTGACGATTTGCAAATGCAGATTGAATGATCCATTAATACATGCAACATCATTCATAAATGTGTGATGGCAATTAATTCAAGAACTTGATATATACATATTTGTGTAAACATTTTTTATTTATTTAGGTAAGATGCATTTGTGTGAGCATTTGGGGAAATATTTATGTTTTTACTTGTGTATTTATGAATTGTGAATTTACTAATTGGATTTTGTAAATTTGAATTTTGTTTTGTAAATGTATTATTTTTGAGGCTGATCTGGCTCCATAGAAAACATTGTCTTTTTTTTATTTAATGGAGAGGACAGTATAGGAACATCATAAAACATCCACTTATCACTTTTTCTGCGGAGGGAAATACATAATATTAAATAATAATATTGACCGCAATGGATTAAATCCTACGTTACATTCTGTTACACTTGAAGTTGAATATGTTGTGAATACTGTTAATTATTGTCCTTTAGCGACCCATTCAAACCCTTTCAAATAATTACGTTATTTGTGGTTGTGCTGATCTGAAATCTTTCGTGCTCTGTAGTCATACATGACCATTACTGGAGATGTTTTATACATGCTGAATTTTCTAGTGTGAGCACAAATACATAGACTTTGAATGTATAACTGTGTTTATGTGTTCAGGAACCTGTTGAAGATGTTTAATGAGATTCATTACAGGGACGACTGCTCTTGGAGATCCCTCACTACATCACAGAGGTGTATCAGTGCAGAGAGGAACTCCACAACCTGAGAGAGAATGTCCTCCTAGTTGTTAGAGACTACAACAGGTCGGTATGGCTGACAGAGACTGAATTCAGTACAAACTGAGTATTTACATTCCATCTGCCTCTATACACATCTCCATTCAAGACTTTAGCACATCCAGTCTGAAGAAAAGCACTTGAATTAAATGCACACACACACACACACACACACACACTTCCACTGAACAAAACAATTCACACTTATGTCCCTCATTCTGTAGTGAATAATAACCTCCTCCTCTCTCACATATGCGCATACACACACACACACACGCTCTTCAGACTGGAGGACTCATTGTAACTCTCAGAGGGACAGAGTGAGATTCATTACAGGGACGACTGCTCTTGGAGATCCCTCACTACATCACAGAGGTGTATCAGTGCAGAGAGGAACTCCACAACCTGAGAGAGAATGTCCTCCTAGTTGTTAGAGACTACAACAGGTCGGTATGGCTGACAGAGACTGAATTCAGTACAAACTGAGTATTTACATTCCATCTGCCTCTATACACATCTCCATTCAAGACTTTAGCACATCCAGTCTGAAGAAAAGCACTTGAATTAAATGCACACACACACACACACTTCCACTGAACAAAACAATTCACACTTATGTCCCTCATTCTGTAGTGAATAATAACCTCCTCCTCTCTCACATATGCGCATACACACACACACACACACACACACACACACACACACGCTCTTCAGACTGGAGGACTCATTGTAACTCTCAGAGGGACAGAGTGAGTCATCTCTGTCAGTATTGTTACCACATTTGATGCATTCTACACATGCCAGCTGGAAACAAACACTTAAACCCAACACAAGCTAAACAGGTCACTTGCCCCAAATGGCAAAGCACATCCACTAAGACTTGTTAATCCATTTTTACCACCCTCTAGTTCAGTTATGCTTTTAAAATGGCCTTGCTTGTTTTTAAAAAATGCTGTGAAAGAAACTTGTCAGTGCCTGTAATACCTAAAATGAAAATGAAAAAAAAAACAACAGTGAACTTCCTCTTATATGTTTGTGTTCACTCTCTATTAGAATCATTAATGCTCTAACTGCAGATGAGCTGGGTCTCTTTTCTGAGAGAATTCGGTTCTTGGATAGGAAAATCCAGCCAGGCCTGTCAAAACAGCACTGGTCGACAAAAGGAACAGCCAGCGTCTTTATCAATGACTGCAGATTGCACGCCAACAAGGTCAGTAGTTTCTGACGCACAAATACACACAACAGAAAATTGTGGCCAAACAGATGGTAAAGTGAAAAGCTTGTGTTCATCAGGCAGATGGGAATTTTCTGGATTTGCCCTGATTAGAGCAGTATGAATTTCAATGCTGGTCCAGTGCATTGCCACCAGAAAAACATAGGTGGTGAAGCTGGTCAGCCAGCATAGGCTTTCTGGTAAAGCTGAAGTGCAGCTAGCTAGGCATGAAGCCCAGTGTGGACAGCGGCCTGGTTTCTTCAGCAGAGAAACCTCCTAAAAATTGCAGAGAGTTATAGGCATCCCAGAAATGCTAAATTTGCTTGACGAATTAATAATTAGCATTTCTGGTCATTCTGGTCATTCTAGTTTAGGGCTGTAAGCAAAACTATTTTGATAATCTATTAATCCAATGGAGTTTTTTCTCTTTGATTGCATAGTCTTACCCAATGCGCTCTTTCAAGTGATCAATTTGACTATATTGTTTGCTATGCATTGTTGCAAAAATGTTTTAAAATAATACAAATTTATATTTTAAAAATAATAAGTTGCAATATAAAGTTTATTTACATAGAATAGAATATTGTTCTGAACAATGTGCTCCCTTTCTCTGTTGCGCTTCATTTGATTGATATGCATGCATACATTTTATGGAGTTAAATGATGACAGCAACATTTAATTGCTCACTTGCTGTTAAAAAAATACTCTTGCTATATGGAAATAATTCTTGCAGTGTATGTAAAATGTGTTTCCCCTCCATAGAAATGCATTTTTCACTACATTAAGTGAAACAATTAAGACCCAACCAATTTTTTTTTGTTTGTATTTATTATTTCCTTTATCAATGATCAATTTAATTGAATAGCTATTGCAGCCCTATTCTAGTATGCAAAGTTTCACCCAAAGTCTCACAGGTTTTAATCCAGTTTTTAGTCGCACACAGATTTTTGTGAGTACCACAGGGCTCTGGTGAGTGGGGGTTTAGATGTGGTCTGAGATTTGAGCTCTGTAGCAGCCAGCAAATGCTGCACTAGAATTAGTGGTCAGATAACTGGCAGGTGCTGTTTTTATTAAAAAAGACCTGGAAGGCCAATATATAGTAAGCTTGCTGTTTAATAGCTTATAAAGGAGACATCTACAGTGAATGAAAGATGTTCATAACTTTCACACTGAGAGCAGACGAGAACATGTTTGGAATTCAGTTGTAGTTAGTTTAAGGGGTTTAGGACTTTTTTCACATGTTGGGAGTTAGACCAACAGTTTAGGGTTTGGACTGTGAGAAGAAGGGCTGGTTTTAACAAGTAAATGAAACAGTTGACTGGTACTCTATTAGGAAGACATCCAAAAGAAAATATAAAGAAAGAAATCCGCTATATAAATCCCATTTTTATAGGGATAACATTAATATATACTACCGTTCAAAGGTTTGGGTTCTGTAAGATTCTCTTTTTATTGTTTTTGAAAAAAGACCCTTAGTTCACATATCGTGTATTTTGCGCGCTCAAGTTCGTTATTTCAAATGTAGGCACGCTCATAATGGAATCGGGTCCGACGCGCTCATTTTATCCAGGCGCGTCCGCACCGCATCGAGATAAAAACATTTCAACTTTTCAGAATGCCGCAAGTGCACCGTGACAATCATGTGACAAGAACCAACCAATCAGCTTCATCCTTTCCCGTAACAACACTGAAAGGTCAGCAAAGATGAAGGAACAGCTGATCATAGCTGTACAGGGATAGCCATTTTTAAATAAATTTAGTAGCAGAGCTACTGCAAGCGATTTTTAGTGCTGCAAATCCATTTATCCTTTGCTGAAAATTCCACGTCTTCACGGAAGAGAGCAGGTCATGGTTACTTAGCAATGCCAGATGCCTCCAGAGCGCAAGCGCCCAAACGCTTTGGAAAAAAGCAGAAAGCAGCGCGCATAGCGCTTTCCACACGTTTTTAGGCGTGACATGTGAACAGCCCCTTATACGGTCACCAAGGCTGCATTTAATTTAATAAAAAAATACAGTAAAAACTAATATTGTAGAATATTATTAGAATATAAAACAACTGCTTTCTGTATTTTAGTATATATTGAAATGTAAGGTATTCCTGTGATGGTAATGCTGTATTTTCGGCATCATTACTCCAGTCTTCAGTGTCACTTGATCCTTCAGTAATCATTCTAATATGCTGATTTGGTGCTTAAGAAATATTTCTTATTATTATCAATGGTAACAGTTGTGGAAACCATGATTTTTTCAGGATTTTTTGATGAATAGAACATTTTAAAGCATTTATTTGAAATAGTCATTTTTGGCAACAATGTAAGTCTTTACTGTCACTTTTGATCAGTTAAATGCATCTTTGCTGAATAAAGTATTAATTTCTTACCTTTTCTTTATTTTTGACTGGTAGTGTATTTTTCAATCAAATCTAGCGCAGAATACACCACAGCAGGTAAGAAATATTTTTGGCTAGTAAATTGTCTCAAGTCACCCACTATTGGCAGGTGTAGCAAAAAAAAAAAGAGTTAATTTTGTTCCCTAGCTACAGTTTTTCAGGAACAGAAGGCTTTGCTCTTGTTTTGTACCGATACAGCTGTGTCCTTTTGCTGGCCGATATTGCTTTTGTAATGCAAGAATAAGGCAGCAGGCTTTACTGAAAATGGAAGTGCGACTCAGTGGAGAGCAATTGTGAAATCTATTCACTTCCTCTGCTGTCTGTCCATCACTCCTTCATTGTAGAAGGCAATATGATATTAAAGCACTGGCAGTGCCCTTTAGCCATGTGGTAAAGACACACACACACACACACATATATATATATATACACACAAAGGCATGCAAGCAGCAGCATGAATGCCCCATCTACTTTAATAAAGGTAGCACAGGTATCTCTCAGTATAAACAGCCCCAGCGTTCACAATAAAAGGCAGCCAGCCTTGTTCGTTCCGCCACTGTGCCCAGTTCTCAGTTGCTGGAGAGAGCTGGGGGCGAGAGATCAGGTTCACGTCAGAGTCAATGTCAGACATCCTTCGAGTCCAAAACAGAGCTGGCAACAGCTTCAGTGGTAATGGAGAAGTGTGGAGAACTCGAAACATCTGAGCTTACACACACCCACACACACTTATACAGTATACATTCTACACACCCGTGCACATAGAGTAATCTTCCCCTTTGAGGCTTATTTCATGTGACACATTTCGTGCATGAAAAAGTCATGAGACGAGCTGGAAGGAAGAGTAAGATTATGCGGCATGTAAGATGCTTCTGAGAACCTCTATGCAGACTCACAAAAATGTCTCAGCAACCCGGCCCTCCACAGATTGAATAGGGAGCTGTTGGATGAGAAAGCTTGATGCTTTGTGGATAAGAACTGCCTCCTTTAATTTTAAGCACAGGGATAGGTGGAAATCAGATGCTCTATTTCTGCGGAAGAGTGAGAGAGGGAGACATGAGCTGGAAAATCCTGCTGGAAAACCCTTGCTGCTCTGTTTGAATGTTTTCCATCCTTACTTACACCACATTCCTCTCACATCCATTCTGTTTTATTTTTTCTTTTCTTTTCTTTTCTTTTTCTTTTTCAACCACAATCTGTCTTTGTCTTTTTTTTTTATTATTCTTTTTTTTTTTTTTACAGTGCAATTAGTTTTCCTCAGCCTAATGGAGGAGCACCTGAGCTTTTAATGGTTGCTTTGTGCTGTAACTCCTCTCAGGGCAGTTATTCAAACTACCTATGTGTTGCTCCTCACTACAGGGGAAAAAAACATGTACTCCCATATGTAATCGCTGAGGTTTTGTTTCACAATAGCTTGAAGGCTTTGGAATGGTGAAAGACCAGTAAAGTAGTAGCTCATTTTAAACAATGTCAGGAAAAGGTTATGCAGATAGCAAGAACAAAGAAGTGCATAGCCTGATAATTTTGTCTACAATATGCATTAGGATGGTTGTTAGTGCCCCTATTATGCCATTTTTAAGGTTCCCAAAATTGTTTTGGGAGTCTCCTACAATTGGTTTACATGCATGCAAGGTCAAAAAACGCTTTTATTTTCTCAAAATATGCATTTAATATCACCTCATTTTCCAACGATTCCCAAACGATTCATTCAAAGCAGCTCTAAGATTCAGTCTCTCTAAATGCCTTCTTTCTGTGAGCCTAATCCGCTGTGATTGGTCAGATGGCCCAGTCTGCTGCATACAGAGTGTGTCGGAAACGATACACCTATTGCCATAGTTCTATATTTTGAACTCCCGATAGAAAATATAAACATCTATTATTTATCATGCTCACAGGTTGTGATTCAGTGGAGCCAATTGGTCCAAATAAACTGGGTATTGAGCCATCTTTCAAGAGCAAGCATTTTGTGAATCCCGTGTTGAACTCCCTGAGATTAGAGAAGCAGTCATCAGTAAAATGACACAAAAAAAGATTGGGGTGATACTGCTGTGGTACAGTGGGGGGGGGGGGGGGGGGGAGTGTACAAGCGAT